TTAATGAACCGCTGAAAGCGCGAGTGACGACAACAGCAGCAAGCAATTTCCCAGACTGGCAACGCCTGATGCTATGCAACAGAATGCGAACAGCAGGATTGCCCTCGAGCGTTGGGTGACTTAAAATTCGCTTTAGCAAGCATCGACTTAGCCAGAACTATAAAAAACATTGAGTTAAAGGCGAAATGGCTCTTGACACGTGTTTGAAATTAATTAGGTTAATAATGAAATATACTATATGTTTATTTCTATATAAGTATGCGTATGTACATACATACACATGAACGTCTGACTCAACTGGGCAGCTGCTTTACGACAGCACCGGCGACTCGTTAAAAATTAGCTAAAAACGCAAAATACAATTGGCATACAAGAAAGAAATAACAACAACACAAAAGAAAAAAATAAAATGTTTATATTTAAATATACAGCAAGCAGCTGTTTTGCACTGACAAGGCTGGGCCACACACACAAGCACATTTCATGTACATACACGCTCGCAATTGAGACCCCAACTGACCTCGCCTAGTGCCGCGTAATCTCCGTCTCTCTCCCTCTCTTATTCTTCCACGATTTACTTTCGATGACGGCATTTTTGCTAGTGTTTAAACTGTGCCGCGCATAACTGTAAATGTAAAAAAAAAAAGAAATACTGTTTAGTATATGATTTAAAAATAGTGCTAAATTAATGCAGCGAACACTTGCTCTCTCCCGCTCTCTGACTCTTTGGTGATGTTGTCACACATTATCGTTTTTGCGCGTGAGTGTGACTGTAAGTGTGTAGAAAACACATGTTTGGCGCCCATTGTTGTGGGCGCGTACCAGCTGAGTGTGACAGAGCAAGTGCGAACGAACCAAGACCTGTGGGTATCTCTCTCTCTCTCCCTCCCTCTCTCTGAGTATATATGTGTGTGAGCATCAATGCCGGCAGCACTGTGGTAGCCGCAGCTGTTTTTTCTGCTTTGCGCATACCGTCAATACATGTATACATGTGAACATGTGTATTCAGGTATGCGTGTGTGAGTGTTTTGCCAAAAAGTTGTGCAAAAACGAGCCAAAGCTGCAACGTGTGCGGTCTTCTCAAATTCCGTTATGTTTCTTTTTATGCAATATATATGTTAGCATGTGTGTTGCTAATTTTAGCGAAAAATCCGATATACAAAAGCTTAGAGCTATGGAAAATGCTAATGAATCACAGAACGCCGTAAAACACATGCTAACGTGTTTTTGAAAATCGAATACCACAAAATGAAGAAGAATTTTGCAGCAGAAGTGTAGATCAACATAAAACTACAATCTTAATGTCAGCTGACTTGATTTCTTTGCTAACTGTGCTCTCCCCTCGCACCCAAAAAGCAGATGACAAATTTTAGCTGGCATCACACACCACACCTACACATTCAAACTTGTTCATGCTCTCGCACTCACACACCTGTCGTTGAGCCGGCCAAAGAGAGAATAGAAGAGATAAGCAGCGAGAACAAACACAGCACTAATTGTTTGCCGCCAACAAAACGTGCGACGCAATAGAAGCGAAAAAAGGTAAAAGCAAAAGCAAAAGCAAATGCAATTGATGATAAGGAACACCTAAACTAGGTTTTGCAATGTGTATTTCTGAGAAGAAATAAAATGTCGATAAATTGGACTTGCTGTATATATGAATGTACATACATACGTGTTTATCTATGTATCTTGTAATTCAAATCAACTAAAATTAGTCTATAGAAATAGTTTTTTTTTGTTTTTTTTTACTGTATGTTTATTTATGTTGGGCCATGCTTGCACGCACGTAGACCATACAGCTGCCCCAAATGAAAGGGGGTGGGGCGCTTAGCTTTTTCCATGCATTTGTGGTGGTTGCTTTGCTACTCACACCCATACATATATTATACATAAATGAATTCATACATACACATATACAAATACCGTAGTAGAACTGCCAACTCAGCTGATGATGACGAATCAGCAGCAGTTGGCGGGCTCAATTGCAAGTATTTGGCTATTTTTATGCATTTTATTCAATCAAAAAAAACAAAATTGTATCGTAGGGCCGCAAGAAGAGCAGAAGCAGAAGTAGATACATGGGCCGCCTCGTCGTCAGACGCGCCATTTATAGAAACGAAGCAGACAGCAAATAACAACAGCAGCGAGTCAGCTGCTGCTGTACATACACACACGTTTCGTATTGCGCTCAAGAGCGAAACAGAGAGCGCGTGTTTCCAATACAAATTGGAAGTCACTGGAAGCATTAAGAGAACAACACACGTGTTTACGTTGACGCCTAAATGAGTGTGTAGCGTAAGAGTGAGCAAGTGAGCAAGTCAGCAAAAGCTTGAGTCCACATGTTTTTTCGCTACGGCCGCTACTGCTGCCGTCGCTGCAGTACCATTTCCGTTTCAAGCAAAACGAAACGAAACGATATGGTAACGAAACTTAACGAAACCGCGCTCTCGCTCTCGCTCTCACTGACTAACTGTGTAAGTGTGTATGGGACGGAGAGCGAGAGAAAGAGAGCGCAGCACGCTAGCAACATTTGTGACGCCGGCGAATATTGAAAAACTTTTCGTATTGGAACTGTTGCTGCTGCCTGCGCTTGGTTTGGTGGTGTGTTTTGTGTAGCGGCCGTCACCACTGCCCGTGTGTGTTGGAAAAAAGTACAGTCGCCGCAAAAACGACGCCGCTGCCTGCGCGCAGCCGTTTGCTCTGCTTGTTTGGCTGGCTGACTGTCTGGTTGGTTGGTTGGTTCGTTGGTTGCTCGCTCGAACGCGTTGGCTGGGATTCTTGTTGGAATAGCAACGAGTGTCTCGCGCGCGCGTCTAATCGGCTTTTTGTTTACACTCACACCAATGGCACATTTATATCTGTATGCGTGTGTGAGAGTGCCTGCTGTACAGCTGTGGCTTTTATTTATTTTTATTTGTATTTTTTTGCGCTTGGGGCATTCTGTGTACAGCTTTTTTTGCCGGCATTTTCCGACTGCGTCGCAGATATGACGACGACATTTTCTTATTAGCCAAGGCCTCAGTTGCCGGTCTAACTGCAGCTGCCAGCTGCCTGATGGGCAACATATTTTGGCAAAAAAGCTTCGTTTAATGAAAATAATACGGACTGGGGCTTAGTGCCTAATGTTTTCCAATTGATTTATATCAGTTAAAGCAATTGGAAACACATTTTAAATACTTTATAAATTTGCTAAAAAGCTCTATGAATTTTCAATTAGAATAAGCATAAAGCATTTGAACCAAATACTAAGGTGGAAATTTCACAATGAACTCTATCATTCTAATTAGCAATTATGTGTGCTTTTGTCTAATTTTTTCAGATGTAATTTAGAGCTCTTGATAAAATCATATTAAAAGTATACATACTTCAATAAAGCTTAATTAAAAACTTGATTCTTTTTGAAATAAATCCTAGTTTCTATAACTGACTTACAATTTGTATATCTTTGCTAATTCTAATTGCTACAGCTTTCCAATGCTTGTCTTCCAATTCGCTTCCAATTCCAATTCGCCTCCAATATAAATCAGAATAAGTCAATGAACGGCCTTTGGTAGCAGCAACAACAGCAATATAACTAACTAGAATAAATTAACGTGGCAAAAAATAAATGCAAAATATTCTTTATTATCTTTATATATATATATATGTACATATATAAAATTTGCGCGCGACATTGCGCTGATTTTTATCACAGGCAACGCTGAGAAAACTGTACTCTGTCGCTAACTCACTCACACTCTCTCTCCCTCTCTCACACTTTACCTCTCTCTATTTACAACATATCAAAACAACGTAACAGCTTTGCCCAGACAGCTGTGCATGAAGCAGCAGGCAATGGCAGAGGCCCAGAGAGCGATAGAAAGAGAGCGCAGCAGCTGTGTAGCCGGTGTCGTGAGCTAGTTGCTGTTTGTTTTTGTTGTTGTTGTAGTAGTGACCTCCGACAACAAGCGGCATGTCCAGCAGAAATTGTGAAACAAGTTTTATGGCTGCATCCAACAGCAGCAGCAACCACAACACAGATTTATTATTTTTTAATCAAAGCCAACGCAAAAGAATTTCCACAAAGCTTCTCGCATTCCTGAGCCATGACTGCTGCGCCGCGCTGCTCTGATCTGCTGCGCTGCTGCTCTGCTTCTGATGGTTGCATTCCTTTTGGGTGTTGCCAGAGTGTTTTTTATATTTATTATGGTTTATGTTGCCTTCTTGTTTTTTTTGCATGCTTTGCGCCTACGCTGCTTTCTATGCCAGTTTTTACCGTTATGCGTTACCCACGCATATTTGTAGTGCAGGCAAACATGTAAAAGAAACTCAAAACTACGCAAAAACAACTTTTCGCATTCACACAAATGCAAATATGCTGCGTGTGACGGTGTATGTATGGGTGTGTGCTCTGTGTGTGCTGAGAACGCGCGCATTTTGAAGGACACAAGTTCCTTAACCTCTCGAGCAAGAGACACTGCAAAACACAACACAGGCCAGCATAAGCAAAGAAAACAAAGAAGCAGAGAAAACAAAAACAACTACATCAAGAGATTTACTACACTATTTACTATATGCGCTTCACTACCAATGCAAATTCCAATACATTCAGATTTTATGTATGCATGCAATTTAAATATACATTCGTGTTTGTGTGTGTGCCTATGTGTATGTTTTGCGGTAATTATCAAAGCTTGCTTGCTCTCTCTTACTCTTTTGGCAATTATGCTGTTCTGCTCTCTGCTGCGACGTCTTGTGAATGAGTTTCATTGTTAACAGAGTAGACGGCGGCTGTTGCTGTCAATGTGTGCAGAATTTGTATGGGTGAGACAGGAAGAGAAGGCGGGAGAATGTGTGTGTGGCGTTTACACGATGCAAAGAAATTGAGTTAGGCAAAGTTTAAACAAAAGGAATGATATTTGACTTTGAATAAAAAGAAGGACTAGCAGAAAGGGCGTTTAAACTGGTATTTAATAATCGATTAATAATATCCTTTTTCCCATTTATTTGCTTTACAGGCTGCCATATTGCAACAGACCTTCCAATATATTGTCGATCTGGAGCATCAGAAGACCCAGCTGCTTACACAGAACAGCGAACTTAAGCGACAAGTGGGCGAACATGAGGCGCATGGCGGCGGCGGCGGTGGAGGCGGCTCCACAGGCGACAACTACAACAACAGCAACAATGTTAACGAATCGAGCGGCAACAACAACACGAGTTCTTCGAGTGCTGTGGCGATCAAGAAGAGGAAGCTGACAGACAACGTGATCAACATGCAAACAATTAGCGATAGCTCCGATGAAGGATTAGGTTCCATGTCGCCCGAGCCAATGACGCTGCTAACAGCCGGCGGTGGCGTGGCAGGAGCTGGAGCAGCGGCTGGAAATAAGTTGAACAACGCCAGCATCATAGCAGCCAAGGAGCTGCTCGAGATGAAGAAGCAGCTGGAAAAGGAGCGCAGCATGCGACGCCTGCTCGAAGATGAACTGCAGATGATCAAGCGACAGCTCTACAGCGTAGCAACGGCACCGCCAGGCACAGCTGTGGCAGCAGCCGTAGCCAACAGCGGAAGCAGCTCCTACATTCCAAGAGAAGTGATCGAGCATACGGACAACTTTGTGCGAGCCGAGGAGCTGGAGGAACTGGGCGGCACTGTCTCCTACGTGGAGATCGACGAGATGACCGGGCAGCAGCAGGTGGTTGTTTGCTCCAGCATTGAGGAACTGGAAGGCGATGCGGCCGCCGAGATCATTAGCGAGGATCAGGTGCACGAAGAGGTCATACTCTCCTCCAACTCCTCGACAGAATCGGAGAATGAGGTGAATGTGAATGCCATTGCCAAAGCCTATGCCGAGGGCATGAGCACGCCCATTCTCCAGGCAGCCATCAAAGCGACGCCCAAAGTGGAGGTGGAGCGAATCAACGAAAAGATTGTCAAAGTCAAAACAGAGAAGCTCCACGAACAGCCATCGGCAACAGCGATGTCAACGACAACGACGACGACGGCGGTCTTCACGCGCTCCCGACAAAATCTGGAGACAATTGTGGAGGCCATACGGCATCTCGAGGGCGATCATCTCTTTGACGGAGATCAGCAGCACAAGCTCCAACAGCAGTATCAGCAGCAGCAGCAGCAGCAGCAAACCCAGCAGCAACATCAACAGCAGCAGCATCAACAGCAACACCAGCAGCAACCACATCAACAGCAGCAACAGCATCATACACAACAGCAACATCATCAGCAGGATGCATTGCATTCGCATCATCAAATCATTAGCACAGCCACAGGATATCGCTTGGCGCAGGATGCGCCACTGGCTCTAACCACTGGCAAACAGCATGCAGCTCTGGCCGAGCTGCGTCCCTTCCTGCAGCTGAAGGGCAACAAGCAGGTGATCATAACAACAAAGTCTGCCAAAGATTTGGGCGCACCCTCGACCATATTCAAAGTGCAGACGAGCAGCGGGACAGCAACGGCATCGGCGACAGGATCATCATCAGCAGCCGGTGGAGCAGGGAGCCATCATCATCAGCCGGTGACCATTACAACAGCATTGAAACAATGTCGTCCAGGTGTCATTGTGGCCAAGCAGCTGCCGTCGTCTTGATTGCCTAGCAGCAACATTATCAACAGCAGCAACATTAACAGTAACAGCGTTCCTCTACACATTGAAACAGCAGCCGCAACACGGGCTAGTATTAAAGGCGTCCGCAATAACATAACAGTAACAGCAGCTCAAACAGCAACAACTGTACAAGTTTTAATGCCCAAACGACGCAACTATGTTAAGCAACAACAACCGCATATGCAACAGCAGTATTGCCTTAACAGAGCTGTAAGGCGGCAATGAATTTACAACTGTTGAGCTTGCCAGCTGTAAAGCTAACAGAGTTCAAATGTATAGTTATAGCTATTAAGCTGCTGCTAACATAGATCTAGCGCTGCTAAACTACTGCTGTATATAGCTGTTAAGATGCTGCTAATAGTAAACAATTCGAGCTGCAGCTAATTGTAAGCTAGCTGTTAAGCGACTGTTGCTAACAGTACGGCTAGCTGTCAATACAGTTGCTTCTGTTAAGCTGTTGCTTAACAGAGCTCAAGCTGCTGTAAAACTAAACATAAAACAAAGAATATAAATATTAAAGGCAATTGTATAAAATTAGTAAAAAAGAAAACAAAAACAAAAAAAAAGCAAAGAGAATTTTCTGCAGTCAAGGCGTAATTTTTTTTATTAATTTTCCATAAGCAAAAACAACAACAACTACTCACATAGCCACTGTAATTAAAGAAAAACAAGAATTTTTTATTTTTATTGTTTAAGTAAATGTGAGAGAAACAAAACAACAAAAACAACAAACAACAGGCAGTAACAACAAAACAGAGTACAAAAAATGAAAACAAAACAAAAACAAAAATAAAATAGACATAAAAATTTTATGATTTTTTGTTTATTACAACAAACACACATACACATACATGCATACACTTAAAAAAATTACAGCAAATTAAGAAAAATTAAAAAAATTATTCGATAAGCAAGAAAAATGAAAAACAAAAAATATATATAAAAATATGAAACATGCTATATTACAATACAAATATATGTATGTATATATACTATATATATATATGTATGTATATATATATTCTATATATAATGAGCATGCTGAACTCTATAAACACCATCGCATTAATGTTTACTTTTTTAAATTATTTCTATTATTTAATTAATTTTTAATTTACATAAACACACGTACATATATATATATATATATATACATATATATACATATATACATATATATATATATATATATATATATATATATATATATATATATATATATATATATATAACATTTAAACAAGTTTATTGTATTTTTTCCTTTTGCCCAAAAAAATATGAGAATCGAAAATTTTTGGAATGGATCTTATTGAGTTTTTTGTTGATTGTATAATCTAATTATAAGAAAGAGCGTGTGAGAGAGAGAAAGAGAGAGAATCGTTTATTATATAAACTACACACATACATATAAATATGTATATATGCATATATATAGTTATGTATATATACATATATATGTATATACTTTACATACGACGTAAGCTAACGCAACATTACATAATATTACTAAATACGATAACATTAAACATAAAACATTATATATACATATATATAAATAAATCCATAAATACACACATACATAATTACATGCATACATACATATATCTGTATGTACTAAAATTTGCGTACATATACAAACGAATAAATAAATATGCTTTAGTACATAAGTGCAAGCAGCAGAGTAGCAGAGTTGAAGAATATATAAGATAGCCGGTGTTGCTGCAGCTCAGCAGAAAAAGAAAAAAAAAAACAAACAAAAAGAACAAGAAATGAATGCCCTATCCATGTGTGAGTGTGTGTCGGTGTGTGCGTGAGCTTAGATGAGCAAAATGGAGAGAGTGTAGACTGCCTGCAGCTCTCTGCAAAGCCGCTGGAACGCTGCGCGCTGGCAGAACAATCAGCTTTTGTCTGGTCACCATTAGACACCAAGTGTTCATCGGGAAGCCGAAGACAGCAGCTGTCGCGCAGCGTAGCAACGGCTTTGGCCACCTACTATCAACACCACCACCACCCACAACGGAGAGAGAGTTTGAGAATGATGGAGAGCGGCGCTCCACCCATACACATAAAACACACACACAAACATACATACATACACATACGACGCGCACACGCGCACACACACGCTTGCACATGCATCGGGCATTTGTCTTGGAAGAGCGCAGCGAACAGATTTACAGCTAAACAACAGCAAGGAACACATTGTTTATGCATTATATAAGCCAGATCATACATACAAACAAACATATTACTACGTACATTCATGCTCTATATAAACAACAAACAAAATACATTAAATAATTAAAAAAAAAAAAAAAAAAAAATACGAAAACAAAAAAAATTATGTCAAATAAATGGTTTTTCCTTTTCCCCTCAAAGAAATACAATTTGCAATTTTAATTATGGGATTTTAAGAATTGGGAAGATATTGGATATATTCATGGTATACATCAATTGGAATTCGACAATGTAGACTTTAAGCCTTTACAAAGTTACAGCTATAAATCATATCGAACTCTCCGAATATGCACTGTTTCCAAATTTGCCACAAATCTCAAATAACAAATTATATAAACATATATCTCCTTAAAATGCATCCTTCCTACTTATATATAATCTGAACTGGAATATCACTAGCCTTATTTTCATATAAACTAAAACTAAATGTAAAAGATAGTTAGGAATTCCTCTTCTACAGTTGCTCTTCTTCGATTTGCAGATCAGTGGAAAAGACATACATATCCCTGCGTCGAGCGAAGAGCATCTCCTGTCGCTTGGGATGAGTGGCCAGGGAATGCACCACGCCTCCATTGTCGCCTGTCAGAGAAACAAAAGGTTAAAAAGGATTCACATTGAAGTGCAGCTCATATTTGATTTACTAATTCGAATACGCTGCAAGACCTTCGCCTCGAGTAGATCCCAGACGTAGGCATCCCCCTCACTGGAGCCAGAGACCAGGTGCGCATCATTGGCCAAGATGCCGCACTCGATGTGAAAGTCCGCTGACTTATGACCTTTATATTCAGATAACAGCCCACCCGATTCGCAGTCGAGCAGACGCAACGCGTTATCCTGGCAACCAGCTAGCAGGCACTGCTCATCCCTCGTTTGCGCTAGATAGGTAATAGGTTGGCCCACCTCGTCACAGGTGAGCTCACCTATCCGTATGTCATAATGACGCACACAGCCATCCAATGAGGAAGCAAAGATTTTGTGGTCATTGGTAAGCACAGCTGTTATACAATCCTTGGCCTCCTTCATCACCTGGACAGGATCTAAGCGGCGGGTGCGTATATCCCAGCACATGATGGCATTGTCACGACCACCCGATATGGCAATCGAGGAGTCCTCGTTGAAACAGACACAGCGTACGCCACCAGCATGACTCCGTAGTCGTCGTACAGGAGCGCCTGTAAAGGATTTTATATATTTATCTTACTTAACTTTATATATTTCTCTCTCTCTATCTTACCTGTTGCCACATCCCAGTAGATAATGCTCTTGTCCAAGCTGGCGGAGACAATGTAGCTGCTATCGCAGCTTCCCGCCACATCGGTCACCTCGTCCGCATGACCTCCATAGGTCTTCAATAGCAACCCCGAAACAGGATTCCATAGTTTTATTTTCTTGTCCGAGCCGCAGCTCATGCAGTAGCTGCCATCCACTGTAAAACGGGATTAATGCTATATATACAAATATTTTGAAGAGAAACTTACCATTATAACGCACTGCACGTACAGCTCCTTGTTTACAGTCTATTGTTTTGCTGCAGTTAAAATTAAGAAAAGCCGGCATTTGTTTATATTAAGCAAATTGCATCAAAATTAGAGATGTTAATTGTGATGGCATAACTCAAAAAGTGACTGGTCACGAATTGAGCGATGATCGTAAATAGAGATGGACATATTGTTATGCACAAGCACAATCAAAATTTAGACATTTTACTATTTTAAATGAAATGCAAATAAGATATAACTACAGTGCAAAATAAATAACTAATATCGTTTATTCTATTAGCAATTAACGTTAACATCCGCAGTCACAGTCACAGTCACGGTAACTTGCTCAGTCTCGGTGGCAGTGCTTTAACAGTGTTGCTAAATGCGCATTGCTCGAACAAAATTACGCTAAAAATGCCTCAGCGCGTCGGGCTGACCAAAGCGGAATGCCAACAATAATAAAGCAGCGGCAACAACAAAACGTCGACGCAACAAAGTTTTTTCGGCAACAAACAAATAAATAAATACCTAAAAGAAAGTAAAACAAATCGTGTTAAATAAATGTAATTAAATATATGAAATATCAAATAAAATAAAGTACAAAGAAAAGACGTAAATTCCGCGGCACGTGTGTGGGCGGGGGAGGCGAAACGCGGTGCTTTGGATGCTACGCAATAATTCAACGCTACGCAATTTCAGCTGCTGCTGACGCTGCTGTCGCTGCCGCTGCCGCTACGCACCTGCTAAACCTGAAGCGCTGCTGCGGCCATCGCCGTCACCGTCTCCGTCGCTGCTGACGTGTGCAAACGAGAGCGAATCGACGACAGGATATTTAACAACAACAATAACAACTACTACTCATACTACAACAACAACAGCAACAAACTGCACGACAAAATTAACGAAGTGTCAGTACAATTGAACGACACAACGCATGCATACACACTCACACACACAAACACACACGCACGCATACTCGAATAGAACAATCAAAAGCTAACGAAAAACACAAATTGCAGTAAAAAAAATTGCAGCGAGTTGCATAAAAAAATCCTGCTTAAGAATAAGTGCACACAGACACGCTCACAGGCACACGCACATAGAAGCGCGACAAAGCAAAAGCAGAGAAAAGAAAACATTAAAAAAAGGGCAAACAGTGCGCGCACAAACAAGGTGGAAAGTAAAAAAGTTGTTTGTCAACTTGTGGCGTCCATTGCACACACAAACATTCCCTCTGCAACACCCAGCAGCAGCACCAGCAGCAGCTCCCCTCAAATGTTGCAGCAACAAAGTGTCTGGCTGTACTGCTACTGCTACCAAGTGGAAATGCAAGTCCAGTGTGCATGCAACAGCGCCTGCGGCCAGTGCTAAGCAACAGCGTAAGAAGCAGCAGCAGCAGCAGCATTAGAAGAGAGCAGCAATAGAAGAGTGCAGCAGCAATCCCTTGCAGCCATGTCAACGGTCACTCGCAGCGCCAGCGCCAGCCCCTGCATGGCCCTCAATGGCATCATCGACGCAAGCCTCTTCCCACTCAAATCCACGTCGGATGTGGTCAATCTCTTTAGACGCGCCCTCACCAGCGCCATTGAGCCCGATCTGACGCTGCTCTCCATCGTTGTTGGCTACATTGAGCTGTCGCTGACCACCGGCGAGGCGGCCCAAGCGGCGCAGGCAGCCCAAGCGGCTCTAGGTGAGTGACAGTTGACTTTATGTGGACTTATATTTTATAAGACATATTTTTGTCGATAGCCTCAATAGTCTATTAGTTGAGTTACTTCTAACTTATATTATATAAGAGACTTATAACTACATTTTATTAGTCTATTTGAGTAACTGTTATTTTCAAATATATACATAATATATATCAAATTATATCTTAAATATTTATATATATAATATTTTGAAATTATGTTTTATAAGAGTTTCTATATATTTTTAAGACTGTTTCATAGTGGCAGCTGAGTTTGCTTCCTTATAATTAATAACTATATAAGTATTATTTAAAAGAAATAAATATATATATATTAATTAAATATATTAAGCCTATTTTTGAGAAAAAGAATTGTGAATGAAATTTTTGACAAATTTTTAAAATTAAATTAGAATATAAACAATTATGTTTAATTATATTTAAAGTAATATCTAGTTTTTAACAGCATTTTAAATAATTTTTATCGCTTTTTTAGGTGGCAGCAATGAGGTAATCATGGGTAACAGCGTGCCCTTTCCCGTGGTGACACACGAGCTGATTGCCGGATTGTACAAGAAGTTCCAGACGATATTGTCGGTGGTGGACAAACCGAAGCCGCATCGCCAGGCGACGCGGGAGATTATCAAGAAGGTGTCGGATGTGATATGGAATTCGCTGATACGCAGCAGCTACAAGGATCGAGCACATCTGCAGAATCTGTATAGCTATCTATCTGGCAATAAGTTGGACTGCTTCGGCGTGGCGCTGGCCACCACCGCCGGCTGCCAGCTACTGGGCTATCGAGATGTTCGTCTAGCCATTTCCGAGGATCATGCGTGGGTTGTATTCGGGCAGAAGCATGTGGAGTGCATTGAAGTGACCTGGCACGGCAAGGGCAGCGAGGATAAACGCGGCCAGGACATTAGCGCAGGCATTGAGTCCGGCTCATGGTTGTACCTAGGCGGCCTAGCAGTGGTCTGTGAACGTGGCATGGAGGTAGCTGCCATCTGCGTAGCTTTAAATATATCCCTCAGTGCGAACAGCGATTGCGTTGAAGTGGCTGAGCTGCAGCAGCAGCTGCTGTGGCTGCTCTACGATCTGGGACACCTTAAGCGCTATCCCATGGCTCTGGGTCTGCTTGGCGAGCTGGAGGAGATCAATCGCACGCATCGTAGCATCAGCTGCGAACAACTATTCCGTGAAGCAATTGAATCTTCTCGCAGCCATTACCACAATCATCACGTCTATCCGCACATCTTTCAGGGCAACTATTACAATCGTTTGCTCAAATATCGCGAAGCCTTTGCCGCCTGGGCTAACGCGGCGGATGTAATACGCTTGTATACGTATCAATGTCGAGACGATGAGGAGATCTACAAGGAGCTGCTGGACATTGCCAATGAGCTAATACCCTATGTGATGAAGACCGAGAGCTCGGGTCATTCTGCTCGTAGCATTTTACGTGACGCGGAGGTGTTTGCCAATTTGTTGCGCTTCTATGATGGCATCTGTCAGTGGGAGGAGGACAGCCTAACGCCCATTCTACACATTGGCTGGGCGAAGCCGCTGGTCACGAACATAACTAAATTCGACCACGACATACGCTCTCAAGTGGTCATCAAGCTGCCTGAAGATCTGGAGGCTGAGCAGGCTGCAGCACTGGAGGCTAAAAAGAAAGCTGCAGCTGCAGCCACAGCAGCTGCAGCAGCAGTAGCTGTCGAGGCATCGCTTCATTTGGAGGGCAACAACAACAATAACAACACGGTTGTTAAGAAGGATGAGGTAGGATATTCTAGCTCAATCTATAACGTCTCGAATAGTTGTATATCTCTTCAATCATATAATAATTGTTGATATATACTAAAAATGCAAATTGTGTCCATTTGATCATTGCATTGCATATGCTACTTTGTAATCTATTCAATTAGTTTTAAGCATTCTGCTCTCTGAGTAAAGTATACTTCCATCATATAGCCTATTTAAAGCCCTCTTCTAATTATCCGTTTCCTTCACAGAAATCTAAATCGGAATTGCCAACAACTTTGGCGGACCTGACAGCTGCGTGTGGCGAAAAGATATTGAATCCAGATTTTTTGCTGCAGGGCGGCGGTCAGCCGTTCGCTGATCAAAAGCAACAAGCAGCAGCAGAGCAAACAACGTCCAGCGAATTGTCGCACAACAACAACAACAACAGCAGCAGCAACAATGCTGAGAAGGAGGCTACAACAATAAGCAACAATGGCAACAATGAGGCTAACAGCAACAACAACGAGCAGCGGCAGCAGCAACAGCAACAGCAACAACAGCAGCACAAAGAAGCTAAAGTAGAGGAGAGCAGCCAAGTGGAGCTACCGAACAGCAATCAGCCAACAGTTGTTGATGATTACGATCCCTTCGAGATAATGCTGAAACGTCCAGTGATCACGTTGTATAGTCAGAAAATGAAAGGGCTGAAGGATCTGCTGCTAGCCGAGAAGCTAAACACGCATGCTATTTCTCTACAGGTGACCGCTCAGTCGGTGGCATCGCGTAAGGTGCGTGGCGGAGGCGCCGACAGTCGACAGCCGGCGACCATATCGGCGACTATAACAGCTATAGCCTCGACAGAAGGCGCGAGTATTGGAGGCAGTGCAGCGAGCGCCACATCAACCGATTCGTTTGCACCCACGCGACCGAAGCGCACAAGGCGCGAGTAAAAAAAGAAACAAAAACAAAAGGAAAACTAAAAACCAGTTGAAGTAATGTGTAGTGATTTGTTGTTTGTAATTATATTATATATATTTATATATGTATGTATATCAGATAATGTAAGCTCAGCTCCCAAAGGAGCAGCGAGTAGGGCATTCGCTGCAAAGGCAGCTAGCAGATATCGCGTACAAGTAAAACACTCGCTGTAAATGGAGACACGAAATGCTTTAGCTTAGCAGCGAGTTTTTACTGAGCAGAGCAGAGACGACTGCTTTGTTTTGGCAGCGAATTGTTCACTCGTTGCCTTTGTCAGTTAACTTGCTATAATATTAATCCTTTATTATTATTGCATATAGATATGCGCTATCAATATTTTCGATGTTCGATGTGTATTTATGTAGTTTGTAAGCGCGAAACAAATACCGTTAGAGAACGCTTAGCGTTTTAAAAAAAGAGACACACACACACCCATACACACAAATACTTATACAAAAAAGCTCTCAACTATTTAAAAAATAACTGTTCTAGGCACAAAGTAACGGTTAGAAGCAGCGAGTGATGTATTCGTGCTTTGCGCCAGAACTATGAACGTATTTCTAGCCTGTTAAAGTAAATAATTTAATTAATTTTTTTCTATTTATTAATGCAACTTGTTTCCAACCACAAAAACTTTGTTCTACATTTTATTGGTGCTCTACTTGAAACAAAAGAAAAATTGAAATATTGAACGATGTATAAAAAAGATAAATAAGAAATAATTGTTTGCAACTACTTGATGCATTCGATGAGGCTAAGCTGTTTAATTTACAGATTGTATACAATGCATTTGCATGTTTGTATTATTATATATATATATTTATATATTAATATTCAACTTACAGATCAACAGATAAAACATATTTAACACTTCCTCTCTATATGTGATAAAACTGTTTTTTCTAGAAAGCTTTCAAATACTATATGTATTAGATGCGTATTTAATCATACACAGCTACCCTATATACATATATATATATATGTACCATATATATATATATATATTTATCAACTTAATAACTAACACATATACAAACACACACACACACATACACAGATATAGAAGGGCCGTGTAACTTAATGGAGCAGGACGGCAAGCACTCTTTGAAATACTTGATCAGCACCACAAAGTTATATTATTTAAAAAAAACTTTTGCAGCCCTTATTAGTATTAAAAGAGACACAATTTATGTTATTTAACAAATTTTTTATTCACTTAAAAGTGAAAATTTCAAAAGAGAAAAACATTTAAGCATACAAAAGAAAGGAGCTTAAACAAAAACAAATTGTTAATTGATGATAATAATTGCATTTTTATTTGTGCGTTGTGCGTCTGTGATGTAAACAAATAGCAATGATGCCCATTAAAAAATCGATATTCAAACAAAGCAAAAACACAAAACGAACAAAAACAAGTTCAAAAAGAAAAATATTCAAATGTATGGTGTTTTATTCCTTTATAAAAGTAGTATACTTAAAACAGAAACAAATCTATATTAATACATATGTAGATATATTTTGGCATACAAAATTTTTACAATAAGCTCAAAAGAAACTTAAAGAAAAAGAATGCAACAGTTTTGGCATGCTAAAAATTCCAACCAAAATACAAGATTAAAAAAATGCCTATGCAACAAAACAGAAAACAAAACAATATGCAATAAATCAAAAGCATACCGCAAAACTATTTATTATAAATGTTAACGTTACGTACACTTCAACTGCTCAATAACCCTAATAGCTTGAAACTCAAATAGCCACAAGTCAAAATGTTATAAAATAAATAAAAATACTAATAAATGCATATTTCAAAAACCTAACAGCGCGCCAAATGTAATTTTAACAGTCTGGCAACGCTATGATAATCGTGTCGAATAGCATATCGAACACAAATGTTGTTGAGCACTAAATATCGATATATTGGTATTGTAAGTACATCTCTAGACAAGTGACTCGGCATCATTTCGGCTAATCGTCAAATTTGTTGAAAAATAAAAATTGTTTAACAATTGTAATTCAGCATACACACACAAATATTAAAAATGTCTGCGCCCGATAAAGAGAAAGAGAAGGACAAGGAGGAGTCGAATCAGAAGAGCGAGGATTTGGGTCTTCTAGAGGAAGATGATGAATTCGAAGAGTTTCCCGCTGAAGGTATGAATTTGTTTTTGTTTTCGTTAAAGAATGTCAAATGAAGAGAAGTTTTTCTGGCAGACTTTCGTGTGGCTGACGATGTGGAGGAGCCAAACGTGTGGGAGGATAACTGGGACGACGACAATGTGGAGGATGATTTCAGTCAGCAACTAAAAGCACATCTAGAGAGCAAAAAAATGGATACATGAATTTCTCGATTCTTCGTTCGTCCCTAACCACAAAAAAACAGTTTAAACTTTAGCAATAACAAATAAATATATTAAGTCTAAACCACACAGTGATCTACTAAGGAAGAGACTATTATTTTGATTTGCTCCGCATCGCGCTGCTCCCCCTCGATTTGCTCCTGCAGCTGGCCTTTACTCTGCTCCAGCTCTACGATGCGGTTTTCTTGTTGATTGATGAATGTGTCCAGTTCTGTGATCCTTTGCTTTGGCTCTTGTGCATCATTTTCGAATTGTAGCTTAAGTGTTTTGAGCTTTTTTTCGCAGTCTAGAAGTTGCACTTTTTGCTTATCATTTCCAGTTGAGAGATTTTGATTTTTCGATTCTATTGATATATGCTTTTTCTCCATTCGCTCCTTGAGCTTGAGATTGTCTTTGTACTCGCTAAGCAGCTCCGGTGGCAATATGTTCATCGCCTTCTCTAATTCATCGATCAGCTGCTGATTGGCTTCGATTTCCAAGCGACGTTCTTTATATAGCTCTTCCTGCTTCTCCATTTCCTGTTTGCTACTCTCAATGCGTGCAAGTATTTGCGCTGTTTGGCTGTTGATAGAAATTAAATCAGTTTTTAATTGGCTTTCTTCTTGTCAACTTACCTTTCGACCAGCTCCACCTCAGTTTCCTTTACCAACAACTGCTGGAATTTTTTAACCTGACCGTTGAGTTCTGTCAGCTGTTCCTCCTGCAAAGCGAACTCCATTTCTTTTTGCTGTAGGATCTTTGATTGCTCCTTCAGTTCGGCCATTACTTTTGGCAACTCCACGCTCAATTTGGCTATATTCGTCTGGCAATTAACAATATCAACTTTCATTTGCTCTGCCTTCTGTTTATTAAGTTCCAATTCAGAGCGTTTTGCAGCGATGGCTGCGCTTAAAGCCTGCCGCTCCTTGAGCTGATCGGCAATGGGACAAAGGATCTCCTTTTTTTGCATTTTATAGAAACATCTGTAATTGAAGAGCACATCCAGGGTGCTAGATGTCTTCTTAACAGCTGTAAAGTAGATTTGTATAATAATATATTATATATATCTATTTGTACAGATCGTTCGTACTTGGCTCTATTATATCTATGTATGTGAAAGTTTTGCCAGGGAATGATATTTGTATTATGCGCTCCACTTGCCGGCACAGCTTGCTCAGGAACAAGCGCTTCTCTCTGGACGTATCCTTCACCTCGCTCTCGATATTATATGGTGGCTCCAATCGAAAGCCAAAGGAACGCAAATAGCAGATCAGCACCTTCGTTAGAAATGCTTCTGTTGGATGCGACAGCTCGTTTGGTCGCATATTCAATTCGGGAAACAGCGAATTGGCTGTCTCGCAAACGAGCTCTAACGCTGCATTGTTGTTATTCATAATATCTAATTTACTTTGATTACTTTTTAAAACTTTTTACAAATGACAACCAATTTACCGCTTTGATTCGACGCTAGATATGACAGCAACAGCTACTCGATATATCGATAAGCATGCAGCCGTATAGCTGGATCAACGGTTTTTTAAATGCAGCTGCTAAGCAATATATATCTAATATTTGCACGATGTATCGATAATTGGCTTAGGTGTTGTAAAACAGCTTAAATTGTGAATGGCGGACTTAACGGATTTTGAAATGGGGATACTATGGTAACAATGGATTGTTATGTGTTGTTTTCACTTTGTGTGCTACTGCAATATAATAGCATAACAGGAACAGAGCAAAATGACATCCTCCAGCGCGGTGGAAGATGAACGGTTAACTGATTCGGATTTATCCGATGATGAGGGTACATAACAAATCTTAAATACTTTGTTGTATTGTTAATATGTGGAATTTCACTCAGAGCACAAGGAGGAGGTCCCGCAGGAGGAGATTCGTCCTCCCACACCACGTCCCACATACAGTGATGAGGATCTTAACCAGCTGATGGAGTATATACAACGCATGACCACATTGTATTTGTTGGATCAAATGGATTGGAGTGAAGCTTCCCTCGATAATATACGACGCTGGCTGCTGGAGGTCAACGAACCGCTGCTCACAATTTTCTATGCAGACAATGTGCTGACAGCTTGTCTGGGGTTCCCTACGAAGCCAGTAGATGATATTAGCTACTTTTTTCGTGCAGAGCCCAACGAGATATTCTCCATCGATGGCTTCCATGATGAGATTCACTTTGGCACCGTGCACAGCGACGTAGATGGCTGCTTGATGCGTCTGCTGGAGCGCTTCTACGCGCCCATTTTCAGAAACTACCAGGATTGGAATCAGACAGTGCGTGCCAGGTTTTGCGCCAGTCTCGACAAGCTGTTGGCCTTCCTCTTTGCCATAAACTCCAAGATCGGTGGCATCACAGCGCTTTATGTGCCCTTTGTGCTGCATCAGATAGGAGGGGAGCAAATCGTCTGTGACAGGCCGTTGTTCAAGAATCTCGAAAGCATCGCCGTCTATTGGACTACACAGATACGCACAGTGCTGAGCGATCGAACACTGATGGCACCCAATACGCTGGCAACTGTGAGCGATGAATACGAGTTCTGGGAATACCGATGTAGGTAAAATATATGTATGACAAAGAGTGCGGATTGACTGACTAGAAGATACCCTGAATTCAAAGTTTGTAGCTTTGCGATCATGGTTTCAGCTTTGGTTTTCAGAGACTCTCTGCAGATAATTATTGTTTCCATCTTAAATTAGTTAAAATATTTAATTTATATTTTCAATATATTCAAATATTTATGCTTGCTTGCAGTGGAGGTGCTGCAGGGACTGAACTCTCAGCTAGAACAGTTCGATGTGCAGCGCGTGTTCAAGGTGTTGCGTCAATGGCAGTCGGTGCACATGCCACAAATTGAGGAGCTACTCTCATCTGCTCAGCTAGAGCAAGAGTTGGCTATGTCGAACATAAGATTTTTGCATTTGCTGATGGAGCCATGTGCCAAGATCGATGAGTCGAAGTCGTTAGCAGACATCTCGCAACAGTTGCCGCAAATTTTTCATCTCTTGCGTTTCGTTTGGGAGCAATCGGATCATTATAAAAACAGCGATCGAATTACTACACTCTTTCGCAATCTGAGTAATCAGATTATTAAGTATTGCACCTCCCAAATAAATCTGGACGAGATCCTGGCAGGTCGTCCGAGATTTGGCATTAAGATGTGCAACATGTCTGTAGACTGCTGCCTGTCCTACGAGGAGCAGCTGCACCAACTAGAGCTGCAGCAGATTGGCTGGCAGTTAGACCAGGGCATCATATTTAATCATGTGCATGCTTTTATGGAGAGATTGAATGATCTGAAGGACATATGTGAGGCGATGATTGTTTTCGGTCGAATGGATGAGCTTGAGACCATTGACAAGGTTCAGTTCAGTGGCACCACCGGCGAGCAGCTGGAGAGGATTGCGGTGAATGTGGAGCAGCAATTCCTAACCACGCTCGATCAGCTACGCAGCTCGAATACGAAGAGCTTGATGCTGGATGTCTATCGTAGCGAGTGGTATGACAAGATGGAAGGCTATCGCAAGGTTGTCCGTGGCATAGAAGAGACCCAGCAACGACTTCTCTCGAATGCATTTCGTCGTGTCTGCAATGTGGAGGAGACTTTAGAAACTCTCAATGTTTTACTCTACTATTCTTACCACTCCACTCTACGCAAATGTTACCTGGGCCAGGTAAGCAACCTGTGGCACCTGTTCAGCGAGGACATGGATGCGACGACAAGGCAGTTGCTGCAGCTAAGGCGAAAGCAACATCCTTCCTGGCTGCCCCCACATGCAAGCGTTGCTCTTGCCTATCGCATCAACCTGGACCGTTTGACGTGGCTGCGCGATCGTCTAGCTAAATGTGGTGCCACCTGGTTGCCTGGCGTGCCACAGGCAGCGATTGCACTTGAGAAGTTTGAGCTTCTGCGCTTGGAGTTCGAGAAAGAGATACGATCTTCGTTTGTGGAGTGGCAAAGTGAAACCGGAAGTAATCTGGGCCAGAAGCTGGAGAGATATTTGGTGTATCGCAGCAAGCAGTCCAAGTCCCTGCTGCAGTGCAACATGGATGCCAGTGCTTTACAGCTCTGCGTGCAGGCGGAGCACTTCGAGAGATTGGGCTACGCAGTGCCTGCTCCGATACGCAAGATCTACGAAAAGCAAGATTCGTTGAAGCTGGCTTATAACAGTGTGCTACACGTCTGCCTGGACTACAATCGCTTGATAAACAGCCTGTTGCCGAGGGAGCGAAAGCTCTGTCGTCCTTTGATTCAGTGCCTTGATAGACAGCTAGCGCCGGGCATCTATAAACTAAGCTATGCCGACGTATCGAATGGGGAGCCCAATGATAGCTACGACCTTTGGCTGCAGGGATGTGTTGAGCATGTGGAGGAGCTCCGCCTAATTATCCAGCTCTACAAGCGCGCGAATCGTCAGATTGTGCGCAACTGCGAACGGATTTGCGACACGTCCATGTTGCGATTCAACTTTAGTGGAGCCGTGGACATTTCTGTATTTGAGCAGCAGCTGAGCAGCTGCTTGAGTAGCGGCAACAGTGCCTTGAGAAAGTACTACAACACCATTGTGGAGCTCATGATGGCAGTCGCTAATGAGTTTGCGGAGGTGCAAGACGAGGTAAGGTCTCTGTACTTCATTCGAGCTCTCATTACAATTATCGCACTTATTAACTACAGCTCTCCAACGAGTGGCATCAGTATGTGAATGTCTTTGATGATATGCTGGCCAGCGCTTTACTCAGCTGCGCCCACAATTCCTTGCAGCTGCTGCGGGATGCCTTGCGCGCTGACGAGGAGCTGCCGCCTGGTCCCATACTTGTCATGGAAGCCGATGTCCAGGACTCTCAAATACAGCTCACACCCAACATGCAAACAGTTGGCTCCATGCTGCGTGGCGTCATCGATCGCGTGCAGAGTCTGGTGGATCAGTTTCCACGACTCGGCTACAAGCTGAAGATCCCAAAGGAAAAGCGGCGTCCGAATTTCGCTAGAGCCTTTCGTGAGGATACGGAATGCTCGGAGCTGGTGCGCGACATCGAGACAGAGATCGCTCGACAGCAGACGAAGATTGAGGAGTATTTGATCCATTGGCAGGCACATCACGCGCTATGGGAGCTCACAGAGGAGGCATTTACGCAGCGTATGCTGGCTAGCGCCAAGACAGCGGGCGTATTCGAGGGCAGCATCAAGCACTATAGCTCGCTAGCAGATGATATTTCGTTCATGGACGCCATTGCCCATGTTCACTTTGTTCTCATCAATCAGAATCCCATTAAGAGCACTCTGCTCGACTGGATTGAGAAGTGGCAGGCGCTAAATATTCAAATATTGCTGCAACATGCAACGGGTCTCATGGAAGGTGAGTGCATAAGAATGTGGCGTGATTGACTGATTGAACTGATCTCTAGCTCAAGCCTGCATTTTGTTATGTAAGTGAAAATGAATCCAAAGTTCTCGCTTACAGCTATCTATCGCTATATGGAACGCAATGAGCGCAAAGTGCTGCGAGTGCCGCGCACACACAGCGAATCTATTGTGGCCAATCAGCTGTTCGAGCGTCTCGTCCAGGCTGTGCCACAGAAACAGTCCAGATTCACGCCCATGCTGGAGCTGTTTGTGCTTTTACATAAATATCGAGTCGCCTTGTCGGACGCAACACGTCAACAGATCATCGAGCTGGAAGCTAATTGGCTGCGATATCTGCAAATACTGTTGGAGGCTGATGAAATGCTCGATAACGAGGGCGATGAGCATAAGATCCTGCTGGCCCAGCACGCAGATAAGTTCAGGCTTATATTGAAGCAGTTTCATGAGGATTACTTCTCCAAGTTGCCCAAGAAGTAGAGTTTGGAAAAGGAAAGTGCATGAAATGACATTGATAATATATTTTATTATATTTATCCTTATCAAATTTTCTATTTATGAATTTGATAAGGATAATAGTATTATTTTATTTATATAATCCAACTGAAAGATCAGACAGATCAGCTAATTATATATATACAATTTTATTTGATTGGAGTTACAGTTCTGATTCATTCTCTTGCTGCTAAACTGGCTGTTTAATTTTGACAGACAGTTAAAGTGGAATAAAGTATTATTACTTAATAATTAACTTGGACAGGACTATGATCAATTAGCTCTTAAGGTCTTAGGTCTGTTGATATTGATTGATTTTAAAGCTGATAAATTTTCGATCAAAAGTTGAACATTAAAGAACAAAAATCCTTTTTTAAATAAATTTATTTATATTTTTTCTCAAGTGAATCAAAAATAAATATCATTGGCAGCATTTCTTTTTAACAAAATCAAATGAAAAAAAAAATCAAAATCAAATAAAAAAATAATTTGTAAAATTCTTTTTCGTTTGCTGTTGTATGCCAAAAAAGTATTACTCACTTCTATATGTTCCACTGTAATATATTTAAATATCCCCTTCTTTTTGATAAAATGTTTCGTTTGGGATTTTTGTTTTCGCAATTTTCGTTTCGATTCGAATTCGTTGTGTAAGCAAATTGCGGGCATGTTTGTTATCAGCTTGATGGATAGGCTTCCGTCTGGGCTAATGGGCAGTTAATGTGGAGCAGCTGATGTGGGTCCCAGTCGTGAACTGTTCGCTGGGCCATCCACTTCTGCTGCTCGCCTGCTGGTTTACTGTTGGCGTCCATGGCGCTCGCATATTGTGCGTCTTTGTGGGCGTGCATCGATCGCAGCTGCTTGTCCATTTGGCAGTGGCGCGAGTTCTGCTGTTGCGTGGTCATCAGCTGACTGTGGTAACTAGCCAGCCTCTAGAGCACAATTGGCCCAAGGCGAATGTAACTCACCTGCTGCTGCCCTGGCAGTTAGCAAAGGAGCAGTTGATTGAGCCTCAAGCTAACTTCCTAAGTCGCTTGCAATGGACGCTTGGAAGGCTGGAGAAATCTGGCGAGCTGCTGGATCAGCCGGAATGGCGCAGCTTTATGGAGCACACTCCAACAACTCCCTACGATCTGCTACTGCTCGGCTATCATTTCAATGATCATCTTCTGGGCGTGGCCGCCCATTTCAATTGCCCTGTGGCCATTATAACGACGCAGCAGCCAATTGGCTTTGTGCACAGCCTGTTGGGCAATCCGGAGGAACGTTGGTATGTGCCACAGCCCTACGACAGTCGCCAGCGCACAGGACTTGAGGGCTGCATCTTTGGATTGTGGGAGAAGCTGTCGGAGCTGCTAGCCAGGCGCGTCATGCAAAGGATTTACAGGTGACCTTTAGATGCCTTCTGACTAGGTAGATGTAGGTGTAGTCTTAGCTCACTATGACTCTTTAAGATAAGAGGCAATGCTTTCTTATACATCCAAAATTATTCTGTATCTGTTTACCTAATTGTAATCTAACAGTCAATCTATCTTTACCCCTTTTAGCACTCACTTTCCTTCGCCTCGCTATCCCAGCTTCGAGGATATGCGTCGTCGAGTGGCACTGGCTTTGAGTAATCATCACATGATCAGCGAGGGACCCATAGCTCCGCTGCTGCCCAGTATGCTGGATATTGGAGGCATTGTCATGGAGCAGACAGAACTGATGAGTATAGTTATACCTCAACGTCCCTTCATACTCTTTAGCCTGGGCACGCGGTTCAGCTGGCTCACAATGCCTGGCCGAGTGGAGCAAGTGTTTGTGGATGCTTTCGCAGAACTAAAGGATTATGATATATACTGGACATACGATGGAGTTAATGCTGCTGCTATTCACTTGGCAAACAGCCATATATATTTGGAGCAGTGGTTGCCACAAGCTCAGCTGTTGGCTCAGCCCCAGGCGCGGCTCTTCATCACACATGGAGGCAAGGGAAGCCTAACTGAGGCACTCTACCATGGAGTTCCTCTTCTTGGTCTGCCTCTACTAGGCGATCAGCGTCCAAACCTGCGCAAAATGCAAGCCAAGGGCTGGGGCTTGACTCTGGACATTCACAATGTTAGCCAAGCTCAGCTGTTGGGCTCCATCAAGAGGCTACTCAATGAAACGCACTTCAGAGAGAGCATTCAAAGATCTTCAGTGCTGTATCGAGATCGTCCTTTAAATGCCAGTGATGTGGCTGCATACTGGCTGGAATATGTGATTAGGCATAAAGGTGCACCGCACCTGTCTGGCAACGCCAGGCAGCTGAACTTCTGGCAGCGCCAGCTGCTAGACGTTAGACTAACGGTCTATGGTACCTTGGGCCTGCTTAGCTGGTTGGCCCTTTGGCTAAATAGAAAACTCAACTGTAATCGCTGACTAGCTTTATCGTTTAATCGTAATTTATAAGTGTACAGATATATATATATATATATATATATATTTATATATTTATATATATATATATTTATATATATATATATATATATATATTTGTTTTTATATAGTAAGTAGTTATAGTGGTAGCTTAAACACGAAACTTAAGTACAATTGAATGTTAGTTAGTTTCAATACTTTTTGTTCGTTTCCGAAATTTTTGACTGCGTTTGGTTTGCTTAAATATTTTTCAATGTGTTGCAGTTCATACGCCTAGAAGCAGGTTTTGAATTAAATTAAATTTACAATACGTGGACTTAAATTAAAAGTTGACTGCGAATGAATGGAACTTCTCTCGTGGCCTTACGTAAAGAAATGAGATTGTTTATGAAAATAGAAAATGAAGTAAAGAAATCTATTGTAAACAGAATGCCTTGAGACCTATTTTCCACTTAAGTTCAACCTTCTGATTGATGGCACCATTTCATAGAGCTGTCAAACAAATCTATTATATTTGATAGTCATAAAATTGTCAGATGTATAAATTGTAATGAGAACCGTTAGCTGAGTTCAATCAAGTGATTGATGGCAGCATTTTATGGAGCTGACCAAGAGACATGGTAAATATTGAAAAAATTAATGAAAACATAAATTTTGTATGTAATGTTTAAGTCTGCAATCATATGATTGATGAAATTTATATATATATATATAATGTAATTGATATATATATCAATTACATTGTAATTATGATTCAAGATTTTTATGTGTAAAAATGGTTTTTAATCTCAAAGCAAAGGTTGAGCCTTCTTTAAAAAATTCGATTGCAAATTCTTATTTAGGGCAACTTTTAAAGGCACAGATAATTCATATTATTAACTGAGTTGTTTTTAAGCCTAAGTTTGCTCATTTAATAAAAAAAACTTGTATAAATTGTAAATATTATAGTTCGCATTTGATAATGTTCGATTGCTTCTAAACGCATGAACTGTGCCCACTGTGCGGCACAGTGGATGATGTTTGCTCAATGTGTTTTTGTTTTTGTTGATGTGCGTAGTAAATTGATGTATGTATGTATGTATGTATGTATGTACGTGTTAATAGTTAAATGTATGCACAGTTCTGAATTGCTGAATGAGCGTGGCTGAGCTTAGCCGAAGCCCAGTTGACGGGGCTGCGATTGCGTTGAGCGCGGACATCGGCCGATGTTGAGGTTAAAGATGCCATAGCTGCAGATGGGTGGGCTGCAGTCGTTGGCGCGAATGCACCTGTAGAAAAGGGGAATTTTAGTCAAGGGTCAACTATATATTGAATATTGCGTGCAATTACTTGAGCTCCGAGACGGGGAAGCCCTCGTCACCGTTCTTCATGCGCTGGCACGTCATGTTGCTCAGGTGGCAGTCGCAGCGGCAGCGACTCGTTGTCGTGGTGGCGCCACCCTGTGCAATGGCAAAGTTAATAAAGTGCTTGGGGCACTCGCATTGGGAGCTACGCTTTCGCCTCTGCGCAGATCGATTGATGCAATGGCATTCCGTGTGATTGGTCATCGGGACAATTGTCGCCTTGCTGTGCCTGCTGTTGACCGAACGCATCCAGAAGACCTGATCGACGGTCGTCTGATTCTTTACTGCCCACACCAAGTTGCTGGGACAGCAGCCGCTGTTCTCGTCACAGCGATGCAACACTGTGGCACGTGGCGAATAGACCTTCGATGTTTCGCTCATCATGCGAATCACTCGAGCCTGCGGCAGCTTGCAGAGCGGCTCGTTCTCCATGCTCACGACGTGCAGGCGCGCCAAGTTGTCTGTAAGCAGCACGAAATGTATTGAAAATTAGCTAAGTGAGCTATAACAGTGGTCTCTTAATCTCTGTCTCCCTCTCTTTCTTCTTATCTCCATCACCTTCCTAATTGGTCCAGCTACATCATTCGCATTGGGGCAGCTGTTACTTGAGGCAGTTCGAAATCCAGTTGCAGTTGCAGCTAGAATCGCATTTTATAGCCGAATAATGTCTATATATGGACTTGTGGGTGGGCGTTGCATGCCGCAGCGTGGTCACGGTTAACTGCCAAAGGGCAAACAGGCGCAAGAGGGCAATTTCAAAGCAGCTGCTGCTGGCCTGTTGAATAATTCATGGGGCAGGTCGGAGACTGAGGCTAAGGCAATTGCCGTGCTGTTTGCCAATTTGATAATTCACATATATATATATATAGAGGTCACATATATATGTGCACATATGTATATATATATATATATATATATATATATGATCTGTTTTATGATTTTGTTTTCGATTCTGTTTCGCATTTCAGAATTCGATACATGCCACCCACAGCTCCATGTGATATTTACATCTGTTGCCTTTTTCTTGCTATTGCAGTTTTATGACTTTATTGCATGCAGTTTTTTTTTTGGCATCTGTATTGAACAGCAGCAACAACAATGAGAATAACTTTGATAACGACTGCCGCATAAAAAACCGTTGCGTTCGCTAAAAATTTCAGCGTTTCCTTTTTATTGGCTTTTGGCGACAGCATCAACAGTAAACAACGTTAAAGCAATAAAGGTGCAAAGCTGCTGTCGATATATAAAGAAATTAATACAAACAAAAAAAATTACAGATCATGCAATGACTAGCCAATACCCTAAACAGAGATCTCTTCATATCTTAGGCTAATCTCAGCAAGTAAGAAATAGTTAAAAGTTGCAGTTGGAATAAAATACAGAAAATATTTCTAATTTATTTATCGTCTATGTTAGCTTTGGAATAATATGAGTAGAGTTGGGTTTGGCCTAAAAATACTTGTGATATTTAAATAATAAATACTCTCTATATACATCTGTATAGTATCAACTATATTTGCTACAAAAGCTTGCAATACTCAAAGCTTCTTTTAACATAATATACCTACATATATAAACTTGCGTAATTTAGCTGATAAGGTCTACAATAATGACAGATAAAATATGACAATAATCTGTATATATATAATCTATATATGTTTTGCTCTAGTTCTACGGCGAAAGAAAAAACTATATACATCTATATAACGGTTTATTGCATTTAGTTCTTATTTTATTATTATGTATTATTTTATAATTTAAAAAATGCATCGACACTGACTGTGACATTGCGACACATATTACGTGACATAATTGTTAAACCCTTTGACAATTGTAAAGCAATTTGTATGGAAAAAAACGCGCGCGATATTAAACGCGAGTAAAGCGCTAGCATTGCATAGGTACACTAGGACTACACACATGCACATATTCACACACATACATATGTATATATATATATATATATATATATATATATAAATTGACATTGAAAGTCGCAACGGCGAGTTATAAAAAAGTTGATTGAACTGCGTTTAAAAACGCGCCAGAAACGCGCGTTTGAGCTCTGTACAAAACTATTAAGAAATAAATGCGACAAAAATATAAAAAAAAAGCAAAATAAATATAATAAGTATTTATTGAAGGCTGCGACACTCAATAAAGATACTGATTCAGAGTTGGAAATTTATAGAATAATTTTATATTTTATGTCTTCATAAAGGAAGCTAAAATGAATCTGAAATTTGAGTTTCAGTTTCACACGCCAATTATTCATTGCCGCGGCTTGGTATGCATGCACTTTGTTAATAAATTTCATTATACAATTCTCATGATTGATTAACATAACATAATAAATGCATTTGCAGATAAAACGCGACGTGCAGCTCGTTTGGTATCGAATGCATGCCAATGTCATGCCGTAGTATATGAAAATTGCATGCGTACACAATAATAATGATATAGCAACAACGACAACACACAGCCAGCAATTGAGATAACGGTTAATAAGCAAACACATGTCACTTAAGCCGGGAGTCGATTTATAGGAATCGATCGATGGCAATTTCGTAGCCAACTTCAGAGTCGACTTTCAACTTATTCGCGGCGGACGACAACAAAATGTGATAAGAAAATTGTTGCATCATTACGCATTTAAGCGGTGCGCCGGCCAGCCCAGCCACAACCCAAGCAGCAGAAACAGCAGCAACAACAACAACAACAGCAACAACCACAGCAACATTGGGGCATATCAGCTAACAATTTCCCAGGCTTAGTGACACACTTTCATTTGCGGTGACGTCGCTGCTGTCCACACGCGCTTAACGGTAAGCAATATGGCGGAGTGATCGACTAGCAGATGCCCTGCATAATATTGTTAACTATTTACAGAGTATATATAGTTCACTGTTTTACTATTTACTCTTTATATTTTCAATGTTTATTTTAAAATTGTAATGTGTTGCCCTGTAAAAGGATTATGAAGCTGTGTGTGCATAATTTGCTAAAAGACTCTAATAAATATGCCTCTTTCTATGCTCCTCTAAAGGCCAAGATAAATAAGTTCAACTGGAACAACTAAGCTCTTCATATAAACATATAAATTATAATTGTTTTATTTGATCTGTCACGGGCATTTACAGCAAACCCAATATACACTGCTTGGGCTCACTCTCATAAGCATAAGGTATTACTGACAACAACAACAACAACAAAAAAACAGTTTTCACGCGCTTTAAATGGCAATTTTCCAGCCGAGTGGAAGTGGGAACGTAAAAGATACACGCGATGAGCTCACATTTCATTGTCAATGGCCAAGCCTGAGCAAATATTGTTGTTGTTGTTGTTGTTGTTGCTGTTGTTGTTACTCGCATGCCACTGATAGTCACAGGCTTTTAATGAAGTAATTGGTAAGATCAGCACAAGTCTAAAAAATACCACAGCAGCAACAGTAGCAATTGGAATGTATGTCGTATAACAACTATGGAATACACTTTTTGGTGTACCAAAAAGTAAGATATATATTAATGTATATAGATACAAAAATATTTTATAGACGTAGCTACATATATGGGTATACATAGAATTCATAATAATTTCTACTAAATAAGACTACAAATATTTATTATAAGTCACAAACAAACTAAGGTTAGTTCAAGTAGAAGCTTAGTTTAAGTAAAAAATTCAATATTTCAATTAAGCAAAAAGAAGCTGGAGTTAAGTCTTATTATATTAAAGTCCAGTTTCTATATCTTTCATATTGCAAGTAGAATATAATTGCCACTATGAGCTTTAAAGCTTAATATATGAATATTTCTTATACAGTGAGAGCTCAATAGATGGAATGTATATATAGTTGACTTCAGTTTAAGCAAAATGCAAACTTGAATTAGTTTTACATTATTTTTAACTATTTAGAGACTATGCACAAAGGTTAGTGGTCGCCTTTCATTTAAAATAAAATAAAAGTTACCTGAAGATATGTTCGAATTTTAGTTAGAATCAAGATATCTCTTGTAAGTTGAGCCCTTGTTAATCTAAATCTGCGATCAGCAATGCAATTAAATATATAATTAGCAAGCTTAGAATCTTGGGAAATTCTTTTTTAACTTGAGTAATATTTGAAGATTTATTATTTGACTAACAGCTAAAACGCTCAACCGCTGAACGTTGAAGTCTACATTTTTGAGGAGCTACTTAAAATTCTTCAGCTCAAGAAACAGTTTTTGCTTGTAAGGCATAGTTTTGAAATAAGCTAACTAATTACTCGTCTCAGAAATAGTTAGGGCATTGACTTAGTTTAGTAAATAAATAAAAACCACGTTGACAAGCTGACTTGTTTTAATTGCAACGAAAGTGTGCAGAAGGAGATGGATAGACAGCCAGAGAGAGAGAGACAGAGAGGGAGAGAAAATGTCTGGAATTTGTTGGAGTATTTTTCTTATGTTGGGTGAGGCATGAAAAAAGAAAGAAAGAAGAAGCCAGTTTCTCAGCGACTTCTTTTGGTGCGTTCCGTTTTGATGGGGGCCCATTTAGAAAGTGTCTGCAGATTTTTTTCCCATTTAATTTTTTTTTGGATTTAACTGGACTTGGTCGTCAGTCTGCGGCCCTCCAACAGCTTCCAGTCACGTGCCAGGCCATAAATATCACGAAGAAGACATTGTGTTTAGCCAGAAATGGAATGCCAACAAAGTTTGCATTTAGCATTTGCATTTGCACTTGCATTTGTTTAGCACAGTTTTTATGGCCCGAACGTGTGGATCGAGGCGCCGCTGTCGCTGTTCTATATGCATATGCATCTTTCCCTCTATATATATATATATATAAATGTCTGTGCCCCGTACTTACTCAATTCATTTGTTTTGATCTTCAGCTGTTCCTGGTAGCGCCGAATACTCAGTTGCACTGCTTCTGGGCTGCCCACCTCCTTTTGCTTCTGGGCGGTCAGCGAGCCGGGCGCCTGATCCGATTGATAGCCCTCCTGCAATAGCGTGAGTGACGCATGAGTGTGTGTGTTTGTGTGTATATATTTATATGTGTGTGTGTGAGTGTGCGAAGGAGCGTATGAAAATTGAAATTGAAATGCGGCAAAAATCGAATCGAATCGAATCGAATTGTTGCATATGCCACTCAGTGCTACCAGCCCCCTCACACGCTAGCCCTCTGCAGTGCCACTCCCTTAGCCATCCTCTTAGCCGCTTTTAGCTTGGCTTTTTTCCACGCGCAATTTTCATGGCCTGACCACGCAAGTTCATATAACTTGTACATATATGTATGTAATACGAACAGCATGTTATACCCTATGAATATGTTAGTAAGAGGTATACTGAGCATTGAACACAGCAGTATCACTTTATAAAGCAATGTTGAACAAAATTTAGATTAAAAAATTATTATTTAATGTGAAAAACTTAAATTTTGACAGACTTAAAAATTCTTTTTTTTAATTAAAAATTGTTTCAAAATTTATTTAGATTTAAACATTTTTAATTAAGCCGAAAGGTCTTGAACAACATTACTATCAGAACTTTATTATGAAGCCTTTATTTTTACTTGAAATTTACATAATTTAAAAATATAAAAATATACCATTTTAAAGTGTACTTCATTATTGAAGGCAATCAAATAAAAGTTAGCACAAGTTGTATCTTTTTTAACTTTCAGTTGGAATTTAGAGAGACATTTTAGATTACTTAGCATTAGTTAGATTTTCTATCAGTTATTCAATCAATTCATCAATTCTCTAAACAACATTTTGTTGCCTTATATTCTTCATTTTATTGATTGCCCCGCCGCTCACAGGGCATCTGAGAGTCGACTACACTCAAGCACCATTCACACATTGTTTTTCTTTAAGTCTTATTGGATATCTGGTCGCGGCTTTCAGCATTATTATTGCACTATTTCAATATGTTGGGTAACATGAAACATTTACAATTTTGCGGACATTTATTAAAAATGCAGAAACAAAACATTTTTATATGCATACATGGCACACGAAATATATAAATTGTGTAATGTATGCCAAACGCAAAGTGAACTATTATAAATGCAAGACATGCATATGTGAGTATATTGTTATTTAATAGATCAATCGATTCTGTGGAACTCAAGGGACCGAAAAACATGTTATCAAATTTTTAGAAATTCCCAAATGAATTCGTAATCCGTTTCATTGAAAGTGTAAGAAATAAATATGGGATTCGATTCAGTTGTGTGGGTTAGTGCATATTTCGTAATAGTTTCTTTATAAATAAATAATTTCTTTTATTTAATTTATTATTTAACGAGCTATCTAAACTATTTTCTAGACGTACAAATTAAAACATTAAATGTATTTTTAAATAATTTAAAATGCTTCGAGGCTCTTTTTCATTGTTTATATTCAATATTTCAGCGTAATTCTGTTACGGCTGTATTTGCGCTCATTCAAATTCGATTCATTGATTCAATTTTTGGCAATTTAAGCAATTTAAATATATGCACCTAAATATATTTATTTATTTTCAAATGCCCTCAATTAGAGGCTCTATAGACACGCCCCTCACAATAGGCAACGAAAGTTATATGCACATACATATGTATGTGTTTGTATATGTGTATGTGAGAAAAGTTTAATTGAATTTATGCATATGATTTATGCTCTGATATGGTTTGTCAATGTGTCTGTGTGTGCGTGTGTGTGTGTGTGGGACATGCTTTACACAACAGTTTGTGATTTAACAGATTTTAACACGCAGCACAGAGGTGTGGGAAATTGCATGATAGCCGCAGAAAACAAACCCAATATTTGGTTATAAAGTCTGCTCGACGTGGTGCAACCCTGCAAGAGAGTCAGTGTCTTGAATGGAAGAAACTTGACGCTGGTAATGCGATATATAGACTTTATCAAATAGAGAAGTCTATTAAGATTAATTAATGTGTGCCAGAGTCCATGCTATACAAAATTGTACTTTCAATTAAATTTATTGGACTTATTCTTGGAGTTGTCGTCTCAACTTTGCATGGATATATAAAGGATATGTAGCTGAGATGTCAATGGAATCAAATTTGAATATTCATTTATACTCAAAGTAAAGCAACTCTATAATCTCTGCTCCATCTTCCTCCATAGCCAATCAATCTACTTCAAATTTTCAATCTGCAGGGTATCTGACGGAGTTTAAAAACAATTGCAACACTGGTGAACATAAATATGCAACACCTGCGCGCAGGTGGAAATGCTATCACTTACAGCTCAAAGAGCAGCAAATATATATATATATATACATACTTTATATATATAAATGTATATACATATATAAAATGATAAAAATGGAAAATGTAAAAACTTGAACTGCGCTCAGATATTGATTTTCGACAAAAAGCACTCGCTCCTTGGACCTGAGTGTCATGAAAACTAACGACATGCATATAACTGACACATAATGCCAGATCCAGAGAGAGAGACAGAGGCACAGAGGGACACAAAGAGAAAGAGAGTGCGACAGAGAGAGAGAGGGTAATAAATGAAGTTTGTATGTAAGAAAAATGGCATTCGCTGTCTGCTTGCTCCTTGCTAAGGACATGTATCGCATAAACCAGTCAGGCGCAGCGTTAAGTGAAATGCCCAACGTCCTGGGCAATGGTAATGCAATGCCAGTTGAATGTATGTATGTGGGCGTGGCATGGTTTGAAGCTGAAGGGGAAGGGTGCGTGAAAAGCAAGAAGGGCACTGTGGTTTCTGCTTAAGCTTAATTTTTCTTAACTGTTGCATGGGAATGGGAATACAGTTCAGGTAAAAATGCTCATTACAACATTTCAGTTCTTATTTAAGACACTTGAAGTCTATATGAAGTTAATTTCTTATTAGGGATACAATCTATGGGATATGGAAAGATCAATTTCATTCGCTATCTTTAGATTTATATAATTCTATTCTATCATCTATCTCCCTCTCACTGTCTCTCTCTCTCTCTCACTTTTTGTATATCTCTGCTTATGTCTTTGTTGCTCTTATTTTATCTTTCATAGTTAAAATTTTTCCAGCTGAAGAGAATTACGATAACTAAAACTATCCTTTCACAGCCTTTCACTGTTGCTTTTATAATATAAAGATATTTTTTGTCAAGGCCTTTCTCTGCAATTCTCATAGTGTGAAGTATTATATTCAAAGTCTTACGTACAATATTTGAATCCATCTGCACAGCTTGCTAACAATTCTTACTTTAAGTGCTTTGTCCTTTCTCTGCAATTCTCATAGAAAGCTGCTCCATTGTATTGGCTTTTCAGCACACTTTATACATTGTGAAACTCTTTGGTCTGGACATGTTTTTGTAGCATTAGCCCACACTGGGGCACTCAGCTCATCTCCATCGCATTGAATGCCTTCACTTGATGGTGGCAGCTCCTTTCGGTTCGTTAGGCTACTGCCAAAGCAGAGCAGTAGAGCAGCGCAGAGCTGAGCAGAGCTCATCGTACAACACCTTTTCATGTTCTTTTATGCGCTTCGGCAGTTTTTATAACCAGTTCTACTTAAGCTTCATTACGCATGCTCAGCCATGACAGAGACCCATTCGGAAACCCAGTGACGTTCCCATTGCAGATGAAAAAACCCATTAAGTGTCTGCCTGGTTGACAGTATTCGAAAAAACAGTTGTTGTTGTTGTTGCTGGTGTTGTCGATGTTGTTGGGGACCAAACAATAAAAACAAACTTCATTTGCATATGCCTGGCTACCTCAATCCCTCCATTCTCGCTCACTCTCTATTGCTCTGGGTGTCTTGCTTTGAAGGATGCCTCAGCATGGATTCCTGGGCGTGGGTGTGACTCGCGTCTGGCCTTTTTACGAGCACGGCTCCAGCTAACAACAACAACAAAAACATTTGTATAAAACCCGTCCCTGGTTTTTATTTGCAATCAAAAGAGTTATGAGCCAAATGCAAATAGCTCGCGCCTCGAACTGTTTTCATTTTTATGCTCCTCTTCTGCCCAGCCAGGGCAGTAGCTTCACGCCTGTGGTCAAGGCAGCTGCGGGCGTGGCACTGGCTAAAAAACAGTAGCACACACAATTCGTCGGCCCCCGCTTCAGCTCCCGCTCCCGCTCCCTCCTTAGCAAATAACGCGGCAAATTCGCCGCCAACTGTGCAAATAAACACAAAAGTCAGCCCAATATTTGTTTACATGAAAGAGAGCACAACAAACAGGCATCTGTGTGCGTGGGTCGGAGTGAAGGTGTAGCTGTCTGGGTATGTAGCTGCATGCATATTTATGTTCTTCTTCTTCTTCTTCCTCTCTTTCAACATATTCATTTTTGGAACCTTTTCTAATGATGACCAAAGGCAAAATATAAATGCGAGTTTCGTTCAGGCTTATGATAAGTATTTGTCTCCTTATATAAATTGCAAGATTTAAGCAGCTTGAATTAATTTTTTTATATTATTATTAATAAATACGAAGAACATTTATTTTCATATTAAATAAATAAAAATAAATAAAATAATAAAATAAAAAATAAATAAACTAAATTTTATGTATAGGAAAATATATCAATAAGCAGAGCAGCTAGAGAGTATAGGGTATTTACTACTGCAACTTTGAACCTATACTTCAGCTCTATACTAGAAAGGGTATCTATAATTTGGCCAAAAAATTAAATAAATTAAATAAAAATTCTATTTATAAAAGAACAGATTGACAATCTCAAAAGATTCGTCTAGTTGATGGAAGAGCGAAGCTTGCCTACTAGATGCCTTACATTAGTGTAGGATACTTATAGTAAGTCACACTACAGCTGTTAGACAATTACAGGGTATTACAGTTGAATTTTAACTTGTGTTTTTTCTAATTATTTATTAATGTTAAAAAATTATAAAAATTTTCACACAGATGATTTTAGCTAAATTACACTTAGCAAATTTGTATAATCTTTTATTAAAAACAAGTAAGAAAGCTCTAGTCGGGGTGCCCGACTAGGAGATACCCTGATCCCAGTCCTTTGAGT